AGAACAAAATGACTGAATTGAAGCCTTAAAACTTTTAACCCTCCATATCACATCTAGAATCTCTAACTTACTTATTAGAATCTACTATTTAATCCAGGAGAAAAATGTGAGCAAGTGGGACAAATCTTGCTGATGACTTATTTTATCTGTTTTTAGAATTTGAGTATATTTAGATGGACCAAGAACTTATAGTTGAGGGTAGGCTCTAACTTTTCTTACTGTATTTACTGTAGATCATACACACTTGCCTACCACAGAGGCTTAAGAATAAAGAAGGACTTTAAATTCAGTGTTATTTCCAGTTAGGTTTTGTAAGGTTTCAAGGCATAAGTGCCAAGCCATTGATCTGGTTTATCATAAGTATGGTTAGCTTGGGTGTGTATCCAACTGTGAGTTAAATTGGCACTGTTGGATAATTGTTGGGCAGTGGGACCAAAGGGTGTTGAAAGGTAACTAGAATAGTCATTGCAGTAAGCAGACATAAGATTCTGAGTATGTTCATCTTGAAATTAGACTGAAGAACTATGAAAATGAATAATGTTTTCTTAGGAGTTTTTGTTCAGGCAAAAATTGGGTTATGATGGTAGTATTAGTAAATGAAAAAAAAAGTGATCAAAAGGAAGACCAAGTGTAAGAGTTGCTGGATGGCATCATGTATGACTGGCCTGGTCTGGGGTCTTGGGAGAACCATCTATGTCAGGTGCCATATGTTTTGATCCCAGAATGAGAATTCTAGTGTTAGTCTTAGATTGTTTAAAGATTTTCTGTTTCAGATACCCAGTAGGCTGACATAACCACTCAGGTGTGTGGGTACTTTTTAAATGAGAAACATGAATGCATAAGTCAGCATCCTTAAGTTTAGTGGCAAATAGGCTAATTAGTAATATCTGATATGGCCCTTTCCATCAGGACTAAGGGGAATCTTTATGGAGATGGTATTTTTTTAAATATATTTCTTGATTTTTTACAGAGAGGAAGGGAGAGGAATAGAGAGTTAGAAACATCGATGAAAGAGAAACAATGGTCAGCTGCCTCCTGCACACCCCCTACTGGGGATGTGCCCACAACCAAGGTACATGCCCTTGACCGGAATCGAACCTGGGACCCTTGAGTCCGCAGGCCGACGCTCTATCCACTGAGCCAAACTGGTTAGGGCGGAGATGGTAGTTTTAATAGACATATGCTCTGAGTTGGAGATCATGATATAGATTTCCATCTCCCAGAAGTGTGTAATGGAAAGATTCTGAGGATATTTTTCCATTGATTTTTTAGAGAGCGTAGAAGAGAGAGGGAAAGACAGAGAGAAATATTGAAATATTGATGTAGAGATAAACATCGATGTGAGAGAAACAAATGGATTAGTTGCCTCCTGCACAAGCCCCAATCAGGGCCTAGGCCGGGGAAGAACCTTCAATTGAGGTACCTCCCTTGACTGGAATTGAATCCAGGACCCTTTGGTCCACTGGCCGTCACTTTATCCACTGAGCCAAACCAGCTAGAGCTCCAGGAGCTTTCTTTAAGTGATTACCTCTACTTTTAATGTCCGGGGATTTTTATGTTTAATAAATTTGTAGTTAATTGGGTAACCTATAAGAGTTAATCTTAAGGGCCCTGATATTCTTTACAGTAAATCAGGAGGTTTCCTTTAAGCAGTGCAAGTTCATACATTCCTTGATCTAATCTCATTGGTCTGCTGGTAATACTTTCAAAAGGAGACAGTCTGTGTTCGCTGAAAAGAGTAGATCTTACATTGAGCAATACCAAGGGAAAAGCCCTAGGCCAAGGCAGATTGGAAGACTACACCAGTTTTGTCAGGTGAGTTTTGATTACCAAGTTAGTCACTCTATGAGACTGGAGGACTGGTGATGATGTACACAATGGAAATGTTGCAAATCAGCCAGATCTTATAAACATTGAATAATGTGTCCTATAGTTTGAGTTCCCCAGTCAGTATGGAGCTCTGAGGAGATTCCCCAAGTAGGAAGGCTGTTCTAGGAGTTATTTTACTACTGAGGCTATGGCTCTGCAGTATACAAATGCTTCCACCCACGGAGAAAACATACAAATCATTGCTAACACGTATTTGTATCCTTGAATAGAGTTGACTTGCCAGTCCTCAACGGGGCATTAGCACAAGGGAAAATGCCCCATACAGGTATGAATGGGATTTCCTGGGTTGTACATTAGCCAGACTTGGCTTTTGTTGTATACCTAGGAAGCTATCTTGGTGATGGCTTTCAGTAGTATTGTTTCCCTAAGAAACCATTTTGTCAGTTGAGTGTCCCAATAAAGTAAGTCATATACATATTGTAACATATGATATTGTATGCAATCAGGGAGGCATGGTAGGTCATTTGGACCTGCCCATCAGTTTCTTTTAGAGAATGGGTAGGGATCATTTTTCCTGCCAAGGGCCATTTGGATATTTATAAAATCATTCATGGGCAATGTAAAATTATCAACTTAAAAATTAGCCTGCTATTTTTGGTCAAACATTTAATTAACTCACCCCTAATGGCTTGACAAGGCCAGAACAAATGATTTTGTGGGCATTCTACTGCTTACAGGCCAGATGTTCCCCATCCCTGTTTTAGGGTGATATTTATAGCCTTTTCCTAACCATTTCTTGCTGTTTCATTGAACAGATAAATAGTGTGCTTCCATAATGTTATATTTTATATCCCCACTTGTTTCAACTGGTAGCATAGTTTTCATTAGGGGATGCTATTGTTTTAATACAGCTAACTTAGCAGCGATGTCAACCGAGTGATTACCTCTACTTTGAATGTCAAGAGATTTTTATGTTTGATAAATTTGTAGTTAATTGGATAATCTTTAAGAGTTCTGAAACATAAGAACTGTTTTTTGTTTGTTTGTTTGTTTTCTGAAAGAAGTTAAGAATTTCTCTGTTTCCAGAGTGTACTAATGTAATGGGCAGCACCAAAAGCATACTGCTGTTAGTATCAATTATACCTACTTTTGGCCAAACTGCAAGCTTAGATTAATGCATAGCACCCTACTTGTTGAGCAGAAGTTGCCTGAGACATGACAACCTTGCTCTTTTCCTCTCTCTCCCCCATCTTATCCTTCTCCTCTCGGAATCTTGGAGAAGATGCGTCTGGCCTTTATTGTCATTCCTGGAGAACGCTTTATTTAGGCTTTTTGGATAATTTTGAATAAGCATGAACAAGTCAAAAAGAACAATAAATATTTGTTCACTAATATTGACTTCTCATAGCATCACTTTGATAGGTCATGCTAATAGAAGTCTCCAATTATTTAATCCAATGAAAAAATTACTTCCTCTCTAGGAATGCAGTGCACAGAGACAGGGAGAACACGGTGAGAGAAAACAAAATTCCAGTTGAATGAATTTACTGTGAATTTAATTAATTTTAATAATTCAATAATATGGTGAAAATGCATCCAAAGAAGAAGAGCAATGCTGAAAGAACATAATGCAGTTGGGTAAATAATTATAATAATGTTATTATTATTTATAGCCACAGTCTTCCTGGAGTTTTGGAAAAGAAGAAGAAGTACACTGACCTATACTTGGGACCTTATTGAATGGGAAGAAGAAGAGGTAAGATGTTAGGAAACAGAAGATAAGGAAACTGGGTTTACAAATATTGTGGACAAGTGTTCATTGCTCTTAACATCTAAAGTGGAAGCAGCTAAACACAATTAGGCTTTCCCTTGATGCTTTATGACTAACAAGATTTCTTATTTAATGAAAAAAAAACAATGATGAGATCATGTAATTTTTTTCAAAGCATTTCTATGATATTTTCTTAAACTATATTACTGGAAAGTTGGGCTAATTAAAACATAATTTAGGGTTACTTGGAAAGTAATTTGCATCTTATTTTTTCAAAATATGCTTCTTTGCCAAGACTTGATATAAAAGTAGGCCAAAATGCAGGAATGTTGTATCAACGCAGGTAAAATTTTAAACATTTTTTTTTTACTTTGATATTTAGGTAACTGTAAGTTTCTCTCATAGGAAACACTTCGTCCCCAGTTTGAAGCAAAATATTACAAGATGGAGAGAGTGAATCCCATTAGTGGAAAACCTGAGCCACATCAGCCTTCTTCAGACAAAGTCAGTCGTCTTCTTGTTTCTATATCAGGAATATTCTTCATGGTAAAGTATAACCGTTAATATCAGAACGTTGTGGGCTTCCAGGGTTAGAAGGAAGTTCTAGGATGCCAACTCATTTTGTGACCCAGATAATGCTAGAAACCACATCCTGTTCAATGCTTTCGCAATACACACTATTAAACAGAATGAAAATCACAGCAGGTCACAAAGTGAGTTTGTGCATATTCTTAAGTAAAACACTCTGTGGGAGAAACAAGAGATCATCTAAGGCAGTGGTTCTCAACCTTCTGGCCCTTTAAATACAGTTCCTCATGTTGTGACTCAACCATAAAATTATTTTCATTGCTACTTTATAACTGTAATGTTGCTACTGTTATGAATCATAATGTAAATATCTGATATGCAGGATGGTCTGTGGCGACCCCTGTGAAAGGGTCGTTCGACCGCCAAAGGGGTCGCGACCCACAGGTTGAGAACCGCAGATCTAAGGTAAAATGGAAATTATATGAGTTGCCCTGATAAATTAGTTATCTTGTTTTAAAATGAAGTATCCCATTTAATAGTAGAAATTTAAACAAAGTTTTCATTTTAGTGTGGTAATTGTATTACACAATAACAACTTAAATTTTATTCTACTTATTTTGACACTCAAGTAGCTTAGTTCCTTAAAGGAAAAACTGAAATTTATGTATTCATTTTTAGAAAAATAAATGTCCTCAGCTCAGGTTTCTGTTTTGTTAATAATACAAAATACTGCTGTCTCTTCTGGTCTTCCATGCTGTAGATTTCTTTGGTGATCACTGCAGTGTTTGCAGTGGTGGTGTATCGCCTGGTTGTCATGGAACAGTTTGCATCCTTCAAATGGAATTTCATCAAACAACACTGGCAGTTTGCAACATCTGCTGCTGCTGTCTGTATCAATTTTGTAATCATCATGGTCCTGAATCTTGTAAGTGTTTACAATTTTTCAATATGTACAAAGGGATAGAGGTCTGTTTCCTTTACACTTAGATTGTATTTTTAGGAAGCCAAAATAAGAGCAAGCCACATTTCTGGCAAAGACTATTCAGTTTAGCAGAAAATATTTTATCCATATGGTTCAGATGATAGATTCCTTTAAATTAAAATAAATAAAAGTTGTAATATCAAAATTCCTTTCCCTTGAGTTTATAGTTTGATTGGTGATCATTCCTAAATGTCTAGTGTGTGCTAGAAAGATATCTTCCTTTCACTCAAGTAAGGAATTGTTTGAATTAGAAAACCATTCCAACAGATTTAAACTCAGAGGAGAATTTATTGGAAAGGTAAAGGAACATCTTGAAAGTGAAGGGTTACTCCATTTTTCTTTCTCTGAAACTAGCATTTTTATTTCTTTTCCTTTCTCTCTCTAATCTTTTCTTCTCTATTCTCCATTCTCTCTCTCTCTCTCTCTCTCTCTCTCTCTCTCTCTCTCTCTCTCTCTCTCCTATTTGCATGTGCTTCTATTTGCATGTCTACTCTGCTCTATCAGGAAGATAGCTATCTTTGCCTAGTCATGCCCTGTCTTTCTCTCATAGTCCAGTGTGCTGTGGTATCACCATGCTTTCTTCTTTGGCTCTAACTACATGACCATGATGATCAGCTATCTGTAATTTATTTAACATGGATCATCCAGTTATTTCAATGTGCTACTTTCTCAAAGACAGCACCTGCTTTATTTAACATCACATACACTGTTTGACTTGTGAACCAGTGTCTATAGCTGAGAGGGTCACATTAGGCCTAGGCCTACCTCTTTAGCAAGGTTTATGGATGGCAGTATTCTATTTTCTCTGTGTCTGAAGACAGGAGATACTGATTGGCACATTTAAGATAACGTCTTCAATTCATCCAACAACTCCACAAGGCCAGTATTCTCTCTATTAGGTAAGGGAGGAAACTGAGATTTGGAAAACTTAAAAACTTGCTCCAAATCATGCATATATTAAGTGTCAGTGCTAGTATATTGACATAATGAGATAATTCATGTAAATAGATTATCAGTACTACAAAAATGATGTTGATATTACATACCAGTAATAAGTATTTAGAGCCAAATATGGATTGACACTGATATTACATGTTTATTTAGCTTGAAGAGGCTTAGGACCATTTGCTATTTAACTTAAAAATAATCAGAGAAGGCCTTAAGAGAAAGGTGAATAGTCACTGTAATCAATGAGTAAGTTTTAACACAAGGGTTATAGTTAATACCTTCCACTGTAGTCTGCTTTCTTCAGGTTCATTTTCATTTGTAAAAGGAGAATGTTGTTTACAGCTTCTTGAAACAAGTCATACAGTATTTTAGTTTATGCCCTTGGCTCATAATTAAAGTGAACATTAAACACTGAAAAAAAAAATACAGTACTAGGACTGGGAGGTTTATATGATAGTATAGGTTGTGCATTGCTCAAAGTTACCTCATTGAAGGAGAACCATTCATCACATAGCCATTTTAGATTCTTATACTTATGATAATACTCTTGTGGTAGATGGTGAAAGATCTCATTTCTAACAACATCATTATATTATGAGGGTTTTCCAGTAGAAAGATTTGATTGTGGTTAGAGCCCCATTATCTCAGGAAAAGGAAGCTAAGTGGCTGATGTGTTTATTTCTAGGCAACACTAGCAGTCAGCCAGCCTGATCTTAACTTGAATCCATTTATTATTCTTAGTAAGTTGGTTGACATAAAAATGAC